ACCGACCGCAATGCGGCGGTAAATCGCAAAATGCGGTCGGTTACTGCGAATTAACGGTTTAAAACCGTAAGTTCTCAAGCATTCACAAAAATATAAATTCACAACCTAAATAAATAAATACAAAATCTCAATTTCTCAAGCATATATAAATTCGCAATCTCTTCAACTTCTCAAGCATTCACAACCTAAGAAAATTAAAGTTACAATTCCAAGCATTCCAATTAAAGTTAAACTTCTCAAGCATTCAAATTCCAAATCCTTTAAAGTTACAAACCAAAAGGAAAATACAAAGCAAAATGAATTAAAGTTACAACCAAAAAGAAAAATCCAATTCAAAGTTAATTAAAGTTACAAATTAAAAGGAAAATGCAATGCACCAATATTACAAACTAAAGTTACAAACTCAAGTGTTGGTGGCGAGTGGATTTGAAGAACCCCGTTGTATTGTTTGAGCACTAATGTTATCTACAAATAAAACAACATAGTTTAATACATTTTATTATAAGAAAAAGCATAAATAACATTAGCATAAATAAACTAATTACTTACAAGTTGTCATATATTTCATTTCCTTGTAGAATTCAACATCATCATCCGTGCAGCTATACTTTGCGGTTTGCAGTAACCGCAAGTTTTGAAAATCAAATACCGCAACCGCAACCGCAAATGCGGTTCGGTTTACCGCGATTGCGGTTTCATTGCGGTAAATTGGTTGGTTTTTGCGGTTTTTCGATTTTTCGGTTTAAAATGCCACCCCTAGTTCTAAGGCTTCTAAAACTCTTCTAAAGTTCATACTTATCATTATAACTCATGAAAAACTCCAAATGGAACCAAAATCATAAACATACACACTTGAAAAATTGCTCTATCCACCCACCCCGAAATTAGATGTTCAAACTCTTCCAATTCAATTTCTCTATCACTCAAGTGACTCAAAATACTTTTTAAGGGATTAGAATCACACAAACGCAAAGTTAAAAATCAAAAATTCAAAATTTGACTCCCTTAGAGAGATTTTCCTCTTTTCCTTTGATTCTACCTTCTCTCCCTCACCCAACTTCCATCTCCTACCTCCCACAATATTATCTTAGCTTAAGGAATCATTACACTTAACCTAGACTAGTGATTCATCTCTAATAGTTGAACAACTCATCCTTAATTGAGATCAAAATCAGATTTTGAAAGAGAAGATAATGTGGAAGGGGGGATGAATGAAGAGAAATTAAGGGTTTTGCCTACACATTGCAAAACTAAATATTTCTTCTCTCTCTCTCTCTCTCTCTCTCTCTCGAAAAGAAATCCGATTCATCATTGGGGAAGATCCCTTAGGCTAGCTGAGTCATAAATTTAGACTAGGTGACTCATCATTGGATTTGAAAGCTTGAGGCCGAGGGAAAGAATGGGAGAAGAGTGGGATGCTACCCTCCACGTTTCAGATTCCCTTGTTTTTTTTTGGCCTACACGGGTATTTTTGTAATTTTTCACACATAGGGGTATTTTGGTCATTTTGGCCCAAAATTCAGAAACGATTTCTGATGTGTTCGTTAAGTTGACTACTATCGTACTCGCTAAGAGTCATAATTGTCTCACCTCAATTTCTTAAATTTTCTTTAAAAAAATTCACAAAATGTTATGTAAGGACATATTAATCCAACTTGAAATTACACACTCAATCCTATAGTCTCAGTCCAAAATCACTTGATAAAATACTCATAATCATTCTTCACTATAATATTATTTTTCATTGCAAAATGAAAGTCCACCTTTAATTTTTCAGGGTATTACAGTTTCTCGTATATACACTACCAAGGTGCCATGGGGATTCGAACATGAGACCATTGGTCTACAAATCAAAACCTTTTTCCACTAATTAAAATCTTAATTGAATACACCCTTTAGTTTATGTTATGTGTTACGTATTTAGTTATTAGTACTTTTTAATTATCTATAATAAATTTGAATTTGGTCCCTATAGTTTGGCACTTCAACCACTTTTGACCCTATAGTTTCAATTTCGTCACTTTTGACCATATAGTTTCATATTTGAAGCGATTCAAGGACATGTTAAAATTTCTGTTAATTTCTTTAACGGAGTAACCAAGTGGAGGGGCAATTTTGTCACTCCAAAGCCCCACGTAAAAGCTTGTATCTACCCCACGTAAAACCAAGAATTTAGTATTTTTCTATTATGATTGTTAAATTTGATTGTTATTTCACAAAATATTTGAGTATTTTTTTAGTCAAATCTGATTGCATTATACCCAAAACAGGGGTCTTACACTTGCAGCAAAAAAAGCATGTCTTATAACAAAAGAAGAATTCAAGGCCTGTTATAGTTATAGTAAAAGAAGAAAGTTCACAAAATATTGGCCAACAACCAAAAACTATTAAACTATGTTAGAAAGTAATGCCCGACTTCAGTTCACAAAATATTGGCCAACAACCAAAATAAGCAATTTCAGTTCACTTGGAATTCCTCGATAGTGGAGTCCTAATGCTAACTCCCATATGCCTTAGATTCACAGAACTTGCACCTCCCATTTGCATATTAAGAGTTGGTCTTGTATTCATTGATCTTGCACCTCCAATTTGTCTTTGATTCACAGAGCTTAAACTTCCAATTTGCATATTACGAATAGGTCTTGGAGTGGGTATAAATAGAGGAGTTCACCTCTGTTCTTCACCTCCATCGACTTCACCTCCCTAAACCCTATTAAAGTTCTGCTCGTCTTTTCGCACCCTCTCGTTGCACTTAATCGAAAGCCCAGATGAATTTCACTAAATTTTTAAGAGCCATAATCCTAATCTGCTTCAAAATGGCCAATTTCGCGCGCCCTAGGGAACAGGAAGAGACAAGATGCTTTGGACTGACAAAATTGCCCCTCCATGTGAGGGGCACATGTTTACTCCGTTAAAGAAATTAACATAAATTTTAGCATGTCCTTGAATTGCTTTAAATATGAAACTACATGGTTAAAAGTGACAAAATTGAAACTACAGGGTCAAAAGTGGTTGAAGTGCCAAACTACAAGGATCAAAAGTGACTTTTGGCCTTTAATGTAAGTGGAGCAATGGAGTAGTGTTTCACTTGTTATTGCTAATTGGCTGCTTAATGGCCTATATATTTCTCATTATTAGTTGTAATTATCACCTATATTTTAAGGTGAGGAGTTGATGGAATTAATGAGAAGAAAATTATTCAGAAAGTAACGTAAGTTATTTTAGAGGTCTAGGGTTCCTCCATGAACCCTAGTTAAAGAGGTCAACGGTTTCTCCATAAGCCCAATCCCACAATTCCAGAGTTTTTCTCTTTTGTTTGTATCATTATGCTTCCCCTTACACATTATACATATTTTATGCTTTTGCTATGTGGACTTTTAAATCCACCAAGAAAGTGTGAAAATGTTTAGAAATGTCCCATATTGGAAAGTTGAGAAACCTAACAATGACTTATAAGTAAGGACTAAAATATCAATAATATCGATGAAATATCGAGGGCATTATTGTTTTTTCGGGTCTAGGATATTTTGGAACATATCCATACACATATCGTATAAGTATTGATAATATCGAAAAATATTGATGTCGATAATTTCTCTCACACTTCAATAACATTCGGCCAAAATATCGAGATGATGAAGGCTGTGAAAAATTTGAAGAGTTATTTACATTAACACCCCATGAGGTTATGCTTTTCTTAGGTCTAAAAAATTACACGAATACCCACTGAGGTTTCAGTTTGTTTTAACAAAAAACCATTTCGTTGATTGTTTGTCTAAAAATTGATGGTTTCATTGAAAAAAAAATACTTATGAAAATGACAAAATTAAGCTCAATGAAGTATATGCAATCTAATCTCAAAGGCCAACTTTGTCATTTGTAGAGGTTTTGTTTTTTTTTTTTTTGGTTTTTTTTTTTGTTTTTGTTTTTGTTTTTTTTTATTTTTTTTTGTGTGTGTATAAAATCATCAATCTTTGGATTAAAAATCAATGAAAAGGTGTTTTGTGAAAACAATTTAAAACCTCAAGGGGCGTTCTTGTAATTTCTAAAACTTCAAGGAGTTTTGTAAAAAAACTGAAAACCTTTAGGAGTGTTAGTGTAAATAAGTCAAATTTGAACCTTATCAGAACTCTATGTAGTACTAAGTCACTCATGTATTACTACATATAAAGTGTAAATAAATCAATATAAATAAATGATTATGGTGTGTTTAATATTCTTTCATTAATTACAATATATTTTCTGCACTCACAATGTTTGTCAGCTCGCTATATAATCAACTTAAATCAGTTAAACCCATCATGCAATACATTTCCTTCCAATATTTTGTGATAAAGTAATAGATAATTGACTAAATAAACATCCTCCAAAGTTTCAAGAAAAATTTCCAAGTTTTTCTTACAATTTCCGTGGTTTTTATTCAATTTTTATTGATATCGATAATATCCCGATATTTCCATTGAAATTTATGTGTTTTTGGAATACCGAAACTTCCGAAACCATCAATATTTTAGACTTTGAAAAGGGAACACAGAAAGCAGAAGAACTTGGATTGGTGGTGTTTGGGCAGAAATAAAATTTTTTCCCGAAATTTTATTTATTTTTAAGTTAAAATGTTCGTAACAATAAATCACAATAAGATAAGATAAAATCAACTAAAAAAAGAGAGAACCACTTTACATAGTAACAAAGCTCTTAGGAGATGTGCAATGAACCAAACCAGAAAATAGTAACAACATCAATTCTGTGGGATACCCAACTTCCAAATTTGAACCATATTCACACTGTGGCAGGGATTTTTTATTAAATGAGCCAGAGCTGTCCTCACCAAATATGCCAAGTGGGCAAAAACCCTCCTAAACCCCGAAAACACGTTTTCAAGTACACCAATTGCTTGCTTAGCAAGCATACACAATTCGCACGTGACCCACGGCCTCACGGCCTATAATTAGTTAATAAACTATACTCACAGTCTCCTACACGAAGCGGGAAAGGAAAGATATTGGGCGTTTGAGAGCTTCCTTCCTCTACTGCGACTCTGCCGAGGCCTTTTTCCAGACCCTCTCGCAGCTTTTCCTCTCAACCAATACTTTCGCTGCCGATTACAGCAGAGGTCAAAAGGTACACGAGTCCCTCCCTCTATGGCTTCTTCTTCCCTCTTGTTCATGGGTTTGGTGTTTTTTTCAATTTTTTTTTATTATAAATTTTTCTACTGCGGCTTATATTTGGGTTTTAATTTTTCTCTGTTTGATGAAATTTTTTGGGGTTTTCTGGGTGATGATACTTTGAATTGGTTATGCATGTGTGAATGTATGTGTTGGATTTGTTGAATTTGGGGTTTTTCTTTTTGGCATTTTTACAGTGAAGATATCGTCATTCAATGAAGTGTTGTGGTGCGTTGGTGTTGGGGCTTTGTTGTTGAAATTTTTTGTTGTAATGTTGTCCAAGAGTTTGGAGAAATCACTAAGTTATTAATGTTCCTTTAGGCTTTTGGCAAAATTCTACATTACTGAAGGTTGAAACATCGATACGTCATTTAGTAACAATTCCAATTTTTTTGAATTTTTCTTTTTGTTTTTAAAATCAGAGGAAGAAAAAAAAAAGGTCAAAGGCACAGTACCCGTTTGGTAATTTTTCAATTCTATAATAGAATGGGGAGAGGAAGAAGAAGAAAGCAAGAGAGCAGAATTGAGAGAGTATCGAGATATGGGGTTGAGGGTCTCTTCAACTTAAAAGCAAAATTTTTATTTTTATTTTTAACAAAACACTGGTTATTATGCAGTTTTAAAACACCTCCCGGCCTTAGACTAAATTGGTAAACGACTGTGGATACTTGTAATAGAGAATTTGCAGTTCTGGAATCCCTGTAATAAAGAATTATGTATATCTAAGAAGTTTGTTTCCAATGTAGTTTAACCAGTCTTTTAGGCCTCATAATCTTTATTATTTGCTTTCGTATTGAAAGCAGACTTGAGTTACATGATGCTGTGTGTTCTGTTCTCAAGCATGTCTACAAGTTTGTGATTCTTTTATTTGAACAAATCTGCCCTAGTAGTATCAGAATCATGATAAATACAATATATAATTAATAAAGGGAAGTCCTAGTTAATGTCTCCGCCACATTCATGGTGTAACTTCCCCTTCTCTCTACTGAGTGGTGCATATCATGAAAGGGGATGGGAGTTTGCCATGATTTATGTGATGTAGCCTTTTATGAGTATCATTTGATTGACTGGGATGCAAGTGGTTTTATTTAGATATGTTTTCAAAGTTTAGTCATTGACTCACTGGGGATGCTTCCTCTGGATTTCCTTTGTTGGCTTTACGAAATCGACAAGGAAAAAATTGTAATTGTCTATAAGATACAAGCACATGTATTCATTGTACGATAAGTAACATGCAGGTTGTCATTAGGGTGGAGGTTTTTCTGAACCTGTTTCCAGTCCTTACTGTTTATATATCTACCGTCACTATTTGTTCTTTTAAATGTGACCTACGAATTCCCTTGTCCTGTTTATAGTTACTGATTATTAAAGGCCTGTTCAAGCTAAAACTCGATATGGAGCCCGTCGATTGGAGAACTCAATTTCCTGCAGATTCTCGAGAAAGAGTTGTAAATAAGATGTAAGTTGAATAGCATTAATCATATCAAAACATTGTTTGAATTCCACCTCAAGGATTTTCCTTCTTTGATTACTTAAATATTATCTTGGCATTACAATTTTGGATTAGTACAATACTTTGTGTCATTACAATTTTGGATGTACATTGTGGGTACTGCCTTAATAAGTGTTTAATTACTTAATAAATAAATAATATTAATTTAGACATGTTAAGCTTTATGATAATTCTACATAGGCTGAGCTTGGGTGAGCATCAGCATGACTAATTGTTTTGCAGTATTTAACTTTTCTTCTGTATTAGTTATGAATTTTGCAAGCCAAGATTTTGAGCCTCGCGTAGATTTGAATGTTTATATATTACAATACCATTCTTTGACTAAGCCATTCTGATTGTTTACCAAAACTATTACATTTGATCTCTTCTTGAGCTTACATGGCTAGTAACTTTCTGACTGTGGAAAAATTTCTCATGCAGTATGAATACCTTAAGGAAGCGTTTTCCATCTTCTGACTCGGAAAAATGTATATCTGAAATCAAGAATATTGCTCTAAAGTTCGAGGAAAAGATTTATATGGTTGCCAGAAACCAGGTACCTTAGGTTATGAGATGCCTTTCTTCTCAAGCACATATTTCTGTTCTTTTCCTCAGCCTTGCCGCTCTTGAAACTCAACAGCCTCCTTTTAGTTATTGTGATATTTCTGGACTGCCTAGGTTTTAGAAGATAAAT